TGACTCTGCGTTTAGAAATTATATTTTGAAGGCTCGTTAAAATTTTTTGCGGTTGATTAATATGCATTGCACGGGGACCGCTCTATATAAGGACTTAAGGGTTTTTGTGGGCGCTATCAGTACATACGTCTCGGATCGCTTTATATTTGTTCTCTGTCAGTTACCGTTAACAATTATTAGAAGTTATTACAAGTCTGCGAAACCGCGCCTATTTCGCCGTTGCTCGGTTGGTCAATCCATTTCACCTATTAACTAAATGGGACGTTTATACGTCGATTCTTTCCTTACTGGATTATCCACAAATCACGTCACTTTACGCTATATATCTAGTTTGGTAGCTCCTCAAGATCGCTTATAATTTTTCTTGTGAAAGTTATTAGAGGCGGTCTTCAACTTCTTCATAGCTGATGGATTCAAACGGCCTACCAGCTGCTCCACTTGAAGTTGACTCCAAGCCAAGTGGAGCGGAGTCACCCCAAAATGATTACTTCGGCTGGCTTAAGTCCACATTTTCTCAATCAGCGGATGTATGGAGTCATATCAAACGTGATGTTTCCGAGGTTGCTCAATCCGTGGCAGCGAGCGATCCCCTGACTGCTGCCAAGGGAACCGCCACTTCCGTCTATCGCCAGTTCTCTGACGCTTTTCACAGTTTTCAGCAGGAGGGTGCCAGAGCTGACCCACCTCCATCTGACCCGATAATCCCGAATGGTAATTGTCAGCTTCAATTACTTCAATTACTTACTTTCTTGCGATGGGTTTAGTAAAAAAGGCACCTTCGTACAACACGATTTGTTATCATAGTTCTCTGAGCATATTGTTTACCGGTACGGCTTGATATTGATCTTTGATACTGTTCCTGGCACGCTTATTATAAATTCGAGTCGTACCATTCCCCCACCCGCATTTACCTCCATTTTGCGAATAAATTAAGTCGCATGAGTTTAGAGAGAATGGGATCTTGTAGAACTTAACTATGCGAATGGGTTTGAATAGTTTGGCTTCCATCAATTACCTGCCTGCATCTTATTGTCGTGTTTACTATCTATATTTAGCTCTACTGGAAGTACTGGTGGGATCAGTAGCCTTACGAGAAACTTTTGCCAAATTCCAGCATGCCTGTAATCAAAAGCATTTGTTGTTGAACGTTAAACAACAATATCATTTTTTGGCTTTTTAAAATCGACCAAGGTGACCTGTTAGCATTTTTGAGTTGGTGAGTCACTCTAGGCAGGCATCGAAAGCCATACTTATTTTGTTTTGAGAGATCATATTGACCTCATTTGTCAAGCGTTTAAGCCTAAGAGGCACTTTTTAGAGTAACCTAGTCTCATTCAGGTTTGGTGTTTTCTGACTGTAT